TTACAGTTTTAACCACACGGGCAGGAAGCTAGTTATGCACATCTTCGACATCAGTCAGTCACCTTCGAAACTATCGACAATGACACACAAAGCAGACTCGGTGCCCCATCACTAGTGTTTTCTTTAATCCCACATAAGCTGCCGAGGGCCTGGATTTTATTTTTCATTAATTTTCTACAAAACAACTTTATTTAGCACAATGGCTTTTTAGTAAATTGTCTCTAAACTTGGTGTGGTCACGCGATTCTGTATCTTAATATATTCATTTAAATATGATTATAAGTTAATTAGCGACGATAATTATTTAATTTCAAGCTTCAGGATTATTCTGCATAACCTGTAAGTTTTTTTTAATAATAATAACAATTACAGCATTTTATTTTAAGTATAATGTTTGTTAACTTTGGCATAAATTAATTTCAGTTATTTTATTTTCATTATAGAACTTATAAAGAAATAAACTAAATAGTTATTTTATTATTTATCACGTTGTGAGTCACAGGCGTCGTGGTGGCCCAAAGGTTAAGACGCCCGCTTCTCATGCATGAGAGTTCGGGTTCGAAACCTACCAACGGCAAGAACCAATGTGATTTTTCCGAATTATATGCAGTTTCTAAGATTATCTAGACACCACTGAAAAACAAGTGAAGGAAAACATCGTGAGGAAACCTGGACTTATAATTTCCAATTATAAGTTTGAAATCGCCAACCCGCAATAAGCAAGCGTGTTGATTAATACTCAAACCTTCTCCGTGTGAGAAGAGGCTTTGCCCATCAGTGGGCATTATAGGCTGTTGATGTTGAATTACAGTTACAGGCGCGACTATCGAGCAAGAGGTCACAATATCGTTTCTCGGGTCCGTAAAGTACTATCGAGCCTTTCTCGGCATTTCCCTTAGGTAAATTACCAACTATTGTTAGCAGTTTATTTCGAAGCATGTTTTATTGTCCCATGCAGACGTAAATGTGTATATTCTGTAATGTTTCGTGTTGTTAACTTAATTAGTGCCAAGGTGAGTGGTCATTAGTATTTAGAAGACGGAGACCTTTTTGTTATTGAATAAACATTATACATAGGTCCTCTTCATGTTGTCGTAATATTGATGTAAAATATGAAGGTCCTTGATCGATTGGGTACTAGCTAACTAGTCTAAAACAATACTTTTTGTTGAACTCTCAAAAAATATAGTTTTCAACGAATTTTGTACGAGATTGTGTATTGTGTCGTCACGTCTTTTTAGAGTCAAACAGCATACTAATTGTTTCTTAATATTTTGCTGAATACCTAAATACTAATAATTAAGTTGCTCATAAAATCAATTAATGAAAGTGTGTATTTTTTAATATTCAATTGTAATGAACAGTCGAAATAATTTATTTTTGATTAAGTAAAGTAAACAATTATTCTGAACCATTTATCGGAGATTTACTAAGGTAATAGCAATCAGACTATCAACATCAACCTGTTGGCATCCATTGCTGTATAATAGGCATTCTTAGCGATCAATTTTATTTAACATATATTTTTTTCAGTTTCACACGTTAATTAGCGTAGCTATAGGTACCCATAGACGGTTATTGTGATCAATGCACAGTTAGCGCGGTGGCTGGGCAACCGGCTGCCGCGCAACGTGTAGTTCGATTCCCGCACGGAGCAACTTGTTGATGATCCGGGGAGGGATTTATTAGCGTAAACTGCTTAGCTACGGCGGCTGATATGTGAAAATTCTATCCGGAAGACGACGAGTCCAGGTTTATCCTGTCATTAATGTTAGCCCTTCTTGGTAGAACCCAGAACGTCAGTTGCTGCATATCCAAACGTTTAATCGCTACAGAGATCCTTTGTGTAATCCACAAATAGTAATTATTTCAGGTCTGGGTGTGATGTGAATGTAAAACTGTTTATTTGTAAACAAAGTGACGACACATGAGAAAATCTTAGTGTGCCCCAAAGTTTTTTATTGAAAGAAATAAAAGGTTTGTCATATTGAAAACAACAATATCTGACAGAGAATTGAAGTTGATACCCCTTCGATTTTTCATATTTCCTTAAAATAGAGACTGCCTCGATGGCCGAGTGGTCGCAAGTGTGAAGCCGGGCAAGGGGTCTCGGGTTCGATTCCTGGGTCGGACAAAGTATTATAGGGTTTTTAAAACAAATCTCAGTATTATCACGGAGTCTGGAAGTGTGCCCGGTATATGTCAATAGGCTCACCCCCTATTACATAGGACTCATAACATAATTAAGTGGGTGTTACTTCTGAGGGCTTACTCTTGAATCCAATTCCGATCGATCGACATTGGTATTGTGAAATATCGTACTCTTGAGTTGCAACACTAGCGCCCATTGCATCCGTATTGCATGGATATTGAATGAACTAAATGGTATTGAGTTTGTCTCTATATTCCGTACTCTAAATGATATTTTAACGGCTATGATAGGGATTGTATAGTGTTGACATTGAGTAATTATTGAGTTTTATTGGATTGAAATTGCATTGATATTGAGATTGGTTTCAAGAGTAAGCATCCTGTTCGGGGATAAAAGGCGTGATGTTATGTTATGTTATAAAATAGAGTTATTATAACACTACAATACAACAATTACACAAATGAACACATCCCATACGATTCGTGTCTGTCATCGTTCGCATATTGATGAGGTAGTCCAGCGGTATATTGAATACATTGGTCCTCGGGGACACAGGTTCATTACGATAATACTGCCATGTTCCAACCTCTGGACCCACTTACACAAATTAAGTACAACTTTATACCTATGCATACACTCGGACATACACTCTATTTAGTATTTATCGTGTGTTAACAGCAGAGGAGAATACATTTGTTAATATGAGAATACAGTTGAAAATACACTTCCCGTACTCTTTCTGTGGGTTTGAGCTGTATAGAATAGAATCAGGCGTTACTTTGCGGATATCTATATTGTATAATTATATTTTTTTTTATATAAATAAACTCTTGCGACTCAAACGTGTTTTTTTCTTACCTCTATAAGTGCCGAGTCGCTCAGAATAACAAAGTTCTACTTTTAGTAAATTTCAAACTTATATAGTTAGCATAATTATGTAGTATCGTGGTGAAAGGATAGACAAAAAAAGGAATTTGTGGAATAAACCTGGAGTATTTATCCTACGTTGTATTGAATAGAATCAGGCGTTACTTTGCGGATATCTATATTTCACTAAACTATAGGACGACCGTTCGGACGGCTCGAGTGGTGTGCGAGAGCGATACATTACTCGCGAATTTTAGATAAAGTACAGTCGAATAAGTACCAAAGTTTTTGTGTAGTTAGTAATGTAAACCTTTTTGTTGTGGGCACAAAGTTTGTGTTTACCGGTTCTATAATAGAATCTAGCTACCAGATGCCTGACTGAATCTGAATGAACGAATGTCCCGTCTTAGTAGGCGCCGTGGTCACTTTATGTTTACCTGCATCTATTTTGCCTCCAAAAAAATAGTTCGCTCTTATGTTCACAGTTTCAAGGTCATATCGGTCATTAAATACTCCAGGTTTATTCCACATATTCCTTCTTTTGTCTATCTTTTCACCATGATACTACATAATTATGGTAACTATATAAGTTTGGAATACACTAAAATTAAAACTTAGGCTTTAAACTTTGTTTGGCTATAACCCATTTGCACGCTGATGTTCGATTATTCGTAATTAGTATTACTTTATCAGCATAACAATGTTCGTGGCCTTTTTATTTTTGTTTATTGTAACTCAGTAAAGAGCACATAGCTACTCCTAAGTTATTTTTCTTAACATAACATAACATCACGCCTTTTTATCCCCGAAGGTGTAGGCAGAGGTGCACATTTCGGCACTTAATGCCACTGTGTTATGTGACTGCCTCATTGGCCGAGTGGTCGCAAGTCCGACTGCCGGGCAAGGGGTCTCGGGTTCGATTCCCGGGTCGGGCAAAGTATTACTGGGTTTTAAAAAATCTCAGTAGTAGCACGGAGTCTGGAAAAATGTGCCTGGTATATGGCAATAGGCTCACCCCCTATTACATGGGACTCATAACATAAATAGTGAAAAGTGGGTGTTACATTGTTATTTTTCTTCTTTAATTATATGTAATAGTAGTTTGTGAAAGGCTCATTCTTTATTAAAATGGTAATGATATAAAGTGTCTTTTTTATGGGACAAGCCCGCCACAACCTCCCAAAACCGCTGCAACTCCTATAAGCCAGGATCTACAGTAGATACACCCATGAAAACACCGGAACACTGAAGTCCGGCGCGTCCCAGGGACATGAGTAACTGTCTTGGTTCCCGCAACGAAGTGAATCAGAAAATATTATAAGAGAAGAAGAAAAAACGTTAGTTTCCACTTCCCTCGGTGAATTACTGCAGGAGACAGAATGAATTAAGCCTAAAGGCACAAAAAAGAGACTGTACAACTTCGACAATCGCACACGTGTCTATTATCAACTACATACTTTCCATCTTAGAATGGCATTTGCTTACGAGTTTTACATAAATACCAAGTTGTCATGAACTCGCCACTTCACGTGTAGACGAACGCATGACTAATACCATTATAATATCTTATTCACACTCCTCGCTACTTATACTTCATCACGTGAATTCAACAATGACTTTGACAACTTGAACTTGACGATATTAGAGTAAGCATCACGTTTATAAGATCAACCTTCCCATAGCTCAACAACTAAAAACCAACCCACAAATAACAGACATAGAATACAATTTTCAGTAACGCTGGATGTGAGAACTGAGGCCGTTGTGTTTTATATAAATTTGGGCAGTGTTGTGGTGGAAATAGAGGTGAGTTTCGAATAGTGGCTGTTTGTAAATGTTTAAACAGATAGACGTAAGCCCGTCCTTTCTATAAGGCTTCATCGCATTAAGCACGAGTAGGCAGGAAATCTTTCGAGGTGCACCGTGTGTTTGTGTGTTGATAAATAAATAATTACGAATATTTAAACAAAAATCCACTTACCTAGGTCTTCTTGCAGCGTTAGGGAACTTTAAAATCCCAGCTGATTTCCTCCTATCCTTCACTATCGGCACCATAAGTAGGTCTTCATCTTCAGTCTCTGAACAGCTGTCCAAGTTCACCAGCGCTGGTGCTGACCCACGCCGGTTAGAGTTCTTAGGCACTTCCAACATCTCTCTAATCACTTCACAATATTTACACGCATTTGCCTCAGCCATGTATGCTTTAGTTATAGCATACGCATAGTTTTCTAAGAAACACTTGTGACACCCCGGAACATAGTTCGTCTCCAAATCAGTAGACTCTTCACTAGGTTCCTGTGTTAAATGTATCTTCTTATCCATAACCATTAAACTCGTTTCTTTACTTCTCTTGTCTTCTTTCGTCTTCTTTTCTTCTTTGTGCTTATGTTCTTTGTGCTTGTGTTCGTCTGTGTGCTTCTTCTCTTTATGTTTGTGCTCCGCTTTGTGCTTTTTCTCTTCTTCCAACTTCTTCTGTCGTATTTCTTTCAAGCATTCAGCTTGGTCGTTGTAGTATTCGACGCATTGTATCCTCTCTTGTTTGGACGGTTTCGTGGGACTCCTTTCTTTCTTCTTCTTTTTATGAGTAATGTTTACGTTTAATGGTTCTATTCTCAATGATTTCATCTGCTTTATTATATGTTCGTGGACGTACGGGCGGCTGTACGAGACGTCGTCGCCACCCGTCGCATTGGCAGTGTTCTGTTGCTTTACTGTTTTGGCACTTACATCGTTGTCTTTGTTTTTAAATACTATTTTATCATCGTGTTTACTGAACTCTTTGATGTCAGTATCGCCGTTCATTTTACGACCGTTTTTTACTGTACAATTCTGTGATGACGAGTCTTCGTCCAGACATGTTTCGTAACCGTCTATCTCATGATCTATATACAGAAGGGAATTATTTTCTTCCTGGACGGAAATTCTTGTGGTCGCATCGTAGAAACTAACGGTGTCTTCGTTTGGGGAATTGAGGCACTCTTTCCAACTTTCATCGCTCTTCACTTTAGATAATTCGGTGTCTATTTTCACGTCGCTCTCCTTCCAATATTTGTCGAAACTTATTCTTTCTAATCCAGTCGGTGTAACTGCAAATACCATTTCATCCGATGTGGAAATATCTTTACTTTGTTGCTTGGATAAACATCTTTCTCCATCTTCTTTTCTATCAGCAGACTTACTTCTGGTATCCTGTAGTTCTCTAGGCGCGACTAAGACATCATCTTCAGTTATTGTCATATCATCATCATGATCATCTAAAGACTCTTCTGACTTCGAAAACTTCATTTCTGCGACTCCGTTAATTTTAATCTCAGTTGTACCATTTATATTAAAATCATTTTCAATTTTCTTGCAGTCATCGAGGCTTATATCTCCTAAGGCAGATAGTTCATCATCTTTTATGGAGGCTTCTTCAGGTTCGAGGCATATTTGTACTACTTCGAGACCTTCTCCATATTCCTGCAGACATTCGTGGAAGGAATCCATGCCAGTGTGGTCATCAGATGCCAGGGAATTGATGCATTCCTGTGAAACATGCACGAATTATTCGACAGCTGGTAATAAAGTCAGAAAATGTAAACTACTTAAGATTTTATGAGTGTTTTGTGTGAGTTAACGTTCGGGACGTGACGGGGCAGATGTTAAAGTCATTATTGCTGTTTATTTTTTCTTTAGTTACCGATGTAGTTGTGAGTGATCATCAACCAATCAATGTAGAAGTCTATTGTAAAGTTTATATCGCTTCTAACTGTAGGAGTTTACGTTTGATTTTATTTACGACTTGTTACTTTGTGGGCTCTTGTTTCCACGGCATTATTTAGTGGTGTGTTTTTTATAAAGATGTGTTTTATCTTGACTTTGTTGCTGTATAGATAATCATTTTTTCTTCTATTGTTACTTCTATATTAAATTCGTCTTGTGATATATTCACAGTTTGAGAACTTTTAGGAATTGCAATATCTACAATTAATTTCAAAGCTAAGTTAACGAACATTTGTAAGCTAATTATTACTCTGATTGTTATTAGTTCACAGAAAATGTCATCTCCAAAACGGACCATTAAGGATGGATACACTTCTTCTTATTTGAAAACTGATTCCAAAATGAAGGGGCTGTTTAGTTAAGCTCCAAACAGACGAACCGCATTTCAACTGCAATCTAACTGTAAATTGTATTTCTGATTCAATTTGAACGTAGACCGACCTCAATAGAACTGGAATCGTACTCCTCGTTTGATTTGCAACCGTTTGGTCATGACTGCAATAGAACTGCAATGGGACTGCAATTTGCGGTTGGATTGCAGTTGAATTGCGGTTCGTCTGTGTAAAGCCTCTGCCTTTAAGTGCTTATTTGAAACAACGTATGGGAAATAGAAATAACAACTCGACAATCTTGTGCAACGTATATTTAGCGAGTCACAACAAAGCGTAGAACATTAAACACGGACGTAAGCAACGGACAGACAAATACTAGTTCTATGTATATAATTATACCAACAATTTATAACTTAGACCAGGACGATACAAGTATAGATTTAAAGGTACCTGTGTTTACTGAATAATGAAGAGTTATTGCTACTGAAATTTTTGGGAAACATAATCATGTAGAAGATACATTGATTTCAGTAAAAGGACAGTAGGCAAAATACACCTAGCTCCGCCACGATTCAGACTATTTTTGTTTGAAAGGTATCACAATTGTGTTTCACTGTATCAAAGCTCATCAAATTCTGTCCCGGGATTTGTAAGTTTCTTACATGTAACCGTGTGAGGGAGGTTACCAGAGGCTCAATTGCCGCCCCCTCCCCCCCGTCAGTCTCCCCAACCCTCGAATCCTCCACTATCCTTAAATTCTCAATTCCCAAAAGGCCGGTAACGCACTTGTAACACCTTGGTGTACATTAGCAGCGCCGATTGCTTACCATCAGGTGATACGTCCGAGACAGAATTTGATGACCAGTGGCACAGTGAAGACTGTGATACTTTTCAAACAGATTTAGAGCTTGGATATGCCGCCCATACATTTTTGTCCCTTTGGACAAAATGGTATTATATTAAAAAATACATATTATTATGTAACTACCCAGTTTTCTTTTGAAATAAAAGCAAAATCTTTGTACTTTAATTTTATATATGTGCTGCCCTTTATGTTATATGTGTGTACATAAATGAATAAACAATAACTCTCCATAATTCGCATAAGTAATTAACAAACTTAATTTAGATATTGCTACCCACAGTGGACATTGAATTATGTAGTAGACACCAAATCGGACATTTTAAGAATCGCCCAATATTCCTACACACATCAACGGAATGTACGAATTTACAACACAAGTCTAACAGTCTTTATTTATATTAAAATAATTTATATAAAACAATAAATATATCTTTATTATTATTATTATATATTATTTTATTAAAATATCAGTAAATATAATATTTACAGAACAAAATGCGTTGCTTATTCTATGATATGTTACGAATTACCTGTAGACATTGTGCTTTTTATTATAAGCAAAGCATTGTTTAATTCCTTTGAATTGACAGTTATTTTATTTTTAATAATAGTTATAAATTTTCGTGAAATAAATTTGTGTTTTATAAATATCTCGAATTTAAGCGAATTGCAATTGACATCGGACGTAATATTTAAGATATATGTTTTCTTTGTCTATATATGTATTTGTTATAGTTTGTGAGCTAATGTCGTTTATCACATTTAGCCACTTTAAATATCATATTTAAATACATATTTTTATTTAAATTAATATGGATAATTATAAATTATAATATTTTCAAATCAGCATTGTAATTTTGTAACGCACTAACATTGAACTTTTTTACGATTACAAAGAGATTGACTAGGACAACTATCACATATCTGAAATTGACAGCTAACACATATTATAATCTAATAATATACTTTTATTTATCATATATACTAGCTACTACCGAGCGGCTTCACCCACTCTACTCGGTTCCTATTGATTGTATCGTGTTATTTTATCCCATTGTCTTCCTCGATAAATTCACTATCCAACACAAAAATATTTATTCAAATCGGACCGCTAGTTTTGGAGATTAGCTAGATCAAACAAACAAACTCTACAGCGTTATATAACACGTATATAAGATTATATTAATATATTATGCTATATAATATAATATTTCGCAACTACACAACCATGATAAATAGACATCGATTTCTAAGATCACAATTATTTTATTTTGACACGTATTAAAACTAATGGAATCCTGAGTGGACACTTACGGAATGGAGTACACAATACAAAATATTATGTCTTTCACAAATATCACTGATCTGGATAATATTAGAACGCCTATTGGACAAAAAAGGAGGTTTTTGCTAGAATAATCTTTAAATTTTTCGCAACTAACTTTCACATAGCTACTATATCAATAATGTAATTTTTTAATTTCACACGTTTTTGCATAACTATTGTATTTTTGCTCACCACACGGTGCTTGTGTAAAACCCCCGTTTTTAGGAGTTAGCTAGTTGTATACCATTGGAAGTTCAATATTCGACAGCTGCAGTAGTTGGAAAAACCATATCTTGGTATATTTCCGCCATAGCTATTTCAGATAAACTACAATCCTCAGCTACAGTATAAATATTTACCATTTTTTGGACATTTAACATTTCTACACACATTTATTTAAATATCTATGACAATTACATAATTAATTCTTTCGCAGTATTGCCATTATCCTACAATATTAGCGTAATATTTAATTCCAAGCGATTTTATAGCACAGAGAAGAAAATTTAACCATTAAGATTGAAAAAACCCAATAGGGATGAAGATTTTAAAGTGCTTACTAATTAATTGGGACAGATAAGTATTATTAAATAGATTTTAAGAAATACCAAAAGCAACATTGACCAATAAGTTTCAAGCTCATAGATTTTAAAAAGTGGACGTTTGGAATTCAATTTCTTATTGGACATAGACGATTCACCTTCTCATTTTTATTTGGTTATGGAAATACGTCTTTTAGTGTTGTCTCTTTCTTCCATATAGAAGCTAGCTATTCCATAAGTTTCAATTCAAAGGATCAAAGTGAGCTCCTCCATGTCATTGGTTGTGAGAATAATCTCGACCAATGACTGGCGAGAATGCGATCGAGATCACTTCCAAGTTCGGATTTACAGTTACAGAATAGCATCGCAGGAGTCATTTTAATTTCACAATTTACTTTAAGACTACCAATCAGTTCTTAAACCCTTTGATTGCCGCCGGATAACTATTGAAAACAAAACCTTCACTAGTAGCGTTCAAAGTATTCACAATCACAAGGGCTTTGAAAGAAGTTACATAGTACATTTCAAACATCTACCTAAAGGATACCTTGGGACATTTTTGCAAATATCTCTAACTACGCACATTTAACACATTTTTCATCTCTTAAGCAGATGATCATTGCTACAACATCAAATATAACCTCAAAAACGCATCAGCTCAATCAAATATCCAGTTCATCACAGTTGAATTCCCCTTCATCATTGCAGTTACCGGTTCTTGGGACTTCGACACTGACGGTGTACCTCATTCGGTCCTGGTGTCATTTCATCGTGATCTCCGCTTTGATCTTGGGAGGAACTCGAAAAGGTTGGGGATCGACGATGTCTTGGGAGCATTGGAGTTGAAGCTCCATTATATCACGATGCAAAGACATTATTAGACGCAATATCTTCGTAAAGTATTCCAGTTTCTGTAAAAAAAGAAATAGGAATTTAATGAGTCAGGTCTTACAAACTATCTACTACTATAGAGCATTGTTATTGTATTATTATGATCTGTATGTATTACTCTATCACATAAATCAATAATTATATGAGTTGACAGCTACAAAGCATGCAAAATAACATTGTACACTAAAGGGAAAATTTTTATTTATTAAAATTTGTAAATAAAAACTTATCTTCACATTCACTAGAACAATTCTTAGAGCGGTATTGATATTCCCTTTATTGTACAAGAAGGATTTGTTAGTAAGAATAGAATTTGTAAGAAATGCATGCTACGTCAGGTAATTAGTACTGCTCTAAGCAAAGACAAGCTTTAGTAAGAGAAATCGGAACTTACTTTTATTTCCCCTCAGTGTACAATATCGCGACACACTTCTCGATATATTCAACATTATTAAAATTAAATGAAACATGTTTCCACTTTAAATACTGTTTTTGGTGAATATTTATTTATTTAAAATCACAACAAAATGGATCGTGTGACAACTAATAATATAGGTATTATACGATCCATTTTATTGGCATCAACAAATTACAATTTTTTATTTTACTTTATAACTATATCTCACTCAGTCTCATAACAACATTTTTGTACATAACTGACAATATTAAAAAATTATATAGTCATTAGATAGTGCTTACTTAGACATTTATTAAAATGTCAGGTTTTAAAATGGTACTACAACATGACGTTGTTTTTGTATTGTTCAGTTATGTGCAAAAATTGAAAAATAAATAGTATTGTATAAACTAAATTATATATATAATTTTAATACAATTTAAAGTAATATGTTACCTGGCTTCCTTGTATGCTATGTCCGTTCGCCTTCTCGCCACCAACCACAGTGCTACAGGGTAACGGCTTCGATATCCCGATTGTTACTATTCCTGTAACAAATAATTTTGAATGTTACAATGTGAAGAAAATATTTAAGGCAAGAAGGAGGATAATGTGTTTCGCGTTTTTTTTATTTATACCTAATTCCCAAAAGGCCGGTAACGCAGTTGTAAAACGTCTGGTGTTCCAGGTGTCCATGGGTGACGCCGATTGCTTACCATCAGGTGATCCGTCTGCTCGTTTACCGCCTTATGCCATAAAAAAACTAATGTTCCAATTAAATAAAACATGTTTCAGGATTAATGAGATAAGTAAGATGTAAAATCACGCCTGTCTACCATGTGGGTAGGCAGATACTATGGAACGCCACTTGCTACGATTCTTACACTCCTCTTTCACTTCATCAACAGTCATCAATCTTTTCATGCTTGCTCGTCGGTTAAGGATACTTTTAATTTGGCTCTACTTTAATATATCGCCAATCTGGTCAGTATATATTCGTCTAGGGCGCCCTCTACCGACGGCCCCATTCATATCTGCTCTGTATACTTCTTTCGTTACTTTTCATCCATCCTTTCTGTAGAAAGGACATGTATGTCCAAAACATTATAACATTTCCTTTTCAATTCTATTGATACAATATTTTTACCTTACAAGTAATTGTGTTTACATTTAGTTATAGTACGAGATCCGGCTGCAGAATCAGTGTACCCATCGAGTGTTTGCTGAAAACCAATTTTTTACACATATTCATGATTAGGAGAATTTATATCCACCAGGTTGCCTATCAAAATGTGGCCGCTAGTATTTTTAATTAAATTATTAATAATTCATAATCCGTAAGAAATTTCACTGACTTTTTTTTTCAATGAAATGTCGTCTACTTCACGGCAACATCTATAAAGACTCTGAAAAATTATGGTTGCCGTTGCGCACCTGGCCGCACCTCTTCGCAGCCAGGTATACACAGGTATGAATTTGTTACATTTATACACCCACAACGTACATTTATAATTTATATATCAAATTAAAGCAATTTTTTTTCTGTATATTATTATATACGGTTGCTTAATTAAATCTGGCCGCCAATAAGGGTTGCTGGCTAATAAATATAGTAAATATTAAAAGTAGAGTGAAAGAGAGCTAGCGCGTAACACCACTAGTCAGACGAGGATAGCGATTGCCAGCTGTCAGACGGTTTAAAGCCATTGCGCATGCGTCAGATGTTAGTGTTGTCAACGGATCAAAAAAAAATTGCTGTTTTATTTGTGCATCGAAAAATTATCAATCTCATTTAAGTGAAATAAAATTTATAAGGATGAAGGCGTGTTTCCTGTGCGACAAAAAATGCAATGTACTAGACTTTGATAATGCTTCATTCAAAAAGTGTTCTCTAATGTTATTGTTTCGTCGCAAGAAAAAATATAAATATAAATAAGGTTTTGACTCAACGCACATTCCACCATGCTGGAAATCTTTAAAGGAAAAATTATTGCGAACCATCTTTGTTAATTCGATGTGGTTAAATGCTACTGAGCGGGATTGCATCAAGTTCAGCGCGGAAAATAATGGCTGGCTGCTGTTAGATGGTTTTTTAAAACCAACATGGTTCCTGGGAGATCCAACTCCAGCGCAAGTTGAGAATGTGCTGTGTGATTCCACGAACAAGCCTTCCGATAATAACGACGATACCGATATTTCTGATGAAAGTGATAGCTGCGATGATAGTGTGACTGAGAGCTCCGATGATTCAGATTTTTAAAAAAGAGTCATGGAAGTATAATACAAATATAATACATTTTAAAAATTTATAATTTTAAAAAAACCAAACCAAAGTTAATTATTATTAGTATTCATAATTCGTAATTTTTGTTATTAGATAAGGTATATAAACTAGTCTTAGATATATAAAAAGGGGTTTGTGTTCCTAATTTTTGATTTGATTTGTATAATGTTTGAGTTATGTTAATTAATCTAATAATTGTTTGTTTTTCATGAAAATAATTACTTTTTTTGACAAATTACGATTTAAAGACAATGATAATAAATCTGAGTACAAATAAATAAATAAATATTGAATAATTAGTGCTTTATTTCTCTTATTAATCCCATAGGTCTTTTCGGTTACGCGCGCCTGCTCCCGTTATAAATGACTACGCGCCCGCTTGAAGGTAAAACTGATGATTGATGAATATGTAAAATAAATGTAATACTTGAATAAAATTAAATCTTTTTTCATACAGTACTTGTACAACACAATTTTTTTACATAAGTAACCTTGATTTTATTTATCATCAATATTCATTTTTTTTTGTAATTTTTAAATTTATCGTTGACTTTTTAATTTTTTATTTTAGAAAAGAAAGACGTTTCTTTTGGAGTATTTATTATTTTGAGTCGTACCTAGTGACTAGTGGTGTTACGCGCTAGCTCTCTTTCACTCTACTTTTAATATTTACTATATTTATTAGCCAGCAACCCTTATTGGCGGCCAGATTTAATTAAGCAACCGTATATAATAATATACAGAAAAAAAATTGCTTTAATTTGATATATAAATTATAAATGTACGTTGTGGGTGTATAAATGTAACAAATTCATACCTGTGTATACCTGGCTGCGAAGAGGGGCGGCCAGGTGCGCAACGGCAACCATAATTTTTCAGAGTCTTTATAGATGTTGCCGTGAAGTAGACGACATTTCATTGAAAAAAAAAGTCAGTGAAATTTCTTACGGATTATGAATTATTAATAATTTAATTAAAAATACTAGCGGCCACATTTTGATAGGCAACCTGGTGGATATAAATTCTCCTAATCATGAATATGTGTAAAAATTTGGTTTTCAGCAAACACTCGATGGGTACACTGATTCTGCAGCCGGATCTTAGACTATTAAATCACTTTAATTGTTCACTTGCCATAACTGTTTTTAACTAACATTATTTTTATGAATTGCACTAATTTGTTAGTTAAATAAATATTGCTAGCACAGTTTCTTCCTACATTCACTCGTAAAACACTGTCTCCAATGTTTTTAATAACAGGCAACTGGTTTCATCAATAGAAACTCCTACTTCAAAATAAACTACGACAAACAGACAGATCCATCTGTAATGTTGACTTAACATTATCAACATTATCTTCTTTTAACGTAGTTCATTCTCTATTGTTAGTAAGATAAAGTTACTTTTCTTAGGCAAGAGGTAATGTAGTGTAATTCTAGCATAATACGTGTGTAATTTTGCTGATAAGACGTATTACGTTCTTAGATAACGGAATTATTTAGTTAAGGAAAAAAATTGATGCTGGGTGGCTGGGTGACGCGTTGTTTATTCTTCGCCAAATAATATTATGATTTTTTAACAGAGGCAGTATGTGTAACTGCCTCGTTGGCTTGTTGACCGAGTTGTCGCAAGTACGACTGCCGGGCAAGGGGTTTCGGGTTCGATTCCCGTTAAAAATATTACTGGGTATAAAGTATTAGGTACCTACTGGGTTTTTTTTATTCTCAGTAGTAGCATGGATTCTGGAATAGTGCCCGGTATATGGCAATAGGCTCACCCCCTATTACATGGGACTCATAACATAAATAGTGAACAGTGGGTGTAAAATTGCATTATAAGTGCCGTAATGTGCACCTTGGCCTACCCCTTCGGGGATAAAGGGTGTGATGTAATGTTGTATGTAAATATGTACCCGGCGGGGCAGCCTTGATGGCGGCGACGGCGGCGGCGAGCGGCGCGCGCGCGAGGTGGCGGCCGTTGACGGACACGAGGCGGTCGCCCGGCGCCAGCCGCCCGTCGCGCGCCGCCGCGCCCCCACACACCACCGACCGCACCACTATCACTGAACTGCCGGCCTCCGACGGGTCCTGGGACAGACCAATTTTAATGTTAATAAAAACTCGTTGAGACAAAATTTGCAGCAACAGGTAATATTATCGTGAAGGCTCAAAGGTTTCAGCTAGACCCTGTGTTACCCTGTGTGACGATACAGGAGTTGCAGCGGTTTTAGGAGGTTGTAGCAGGCTTGTCCCTTTAAAAAAATAGACCCTGTGTTCCTTACAGGCGTAAATGGCCATTGGAGAGATTTAGTGAAGTAATACTATCTTTCTCCCCAGAAAGCTAGATGCCGTATGAAGGTTTCTCCCCAAAAAAACAGTTCGCCGTGTGAGTGAGGGTTAATGGAAGCCAAATTCCTGCCATCCCTAATCTCTCCAATCCTCAAATCCCTAATCTCCAAAAGACCAGCAACTTCTCCTCTGGTATTGCTGATATTCATGGGCAGCGCCGATTGCTTACCACCAGATGATCCGCTAACTCGTTTGCCAACCACACACCTTATGATTTGTATAATCTTACCAAATAATCCAGTATAGAGAACCCGAGTCCCCTGTCCTCCTTCAGCAGCTGTATGTACTCGACATGGTCGCTCCACATCGCCAGTCCACTCAATGGTTCTAAGGACCTTGATCTAACGCGTTCCAGGTCTTCTGAACAGAACTCTGGAAAATAATCCGTTCAATGTTTTACCCTTATTTATTAGCATTAGGTTTTTTGCACAGAAAAAATCTATATAAGTGTTTATATAGGGTATTTGTAGAAATGCAAAAAATATCAAATCAGTCTTCAAAAATCTTCAAAAAAAAAACTTTTCAATCACTTGATGATTTTTTGACATTGTCTGTTTGTCGATTTTAACTTTAATTAGTCAACAAGATCCACAGCAACAAGTACCTATTTAAACTTTACATCATTCAGTTCGTTAGTCATCACTCTCAATAAATAACTGTTAAATCCCTCACCATCGTGGTCATGTGGAGCAGACATGACAGTAGTAGCGCTACACAGCGACGCCACTGAGCTCTCTGACTTCGCCTTGATCAACCGCTGAGGTGGACTCAGCAGGTCCTGTAAGCTGCCTCCCAGGATGTTACTCTGTGGAAACAGGAATATTTATTTAAAGGAAACATAAGAATATTTCAAAGTATTATTATACTTTGAAATATTCTTGATGGATGGAATGGGACGGGTTTAGAACACAAATTCAAAAAGAAACCGGCCTCTGAATAAATTCTGAATAACGACGCCATCTATGAATTAATAATGTAAACATAAGATACGTTTGTCGTAATGTTGCCCACTAGATGGCGTTATATGAAGGTATTTCAACTGTGTTTTTTATCGTCTCATTTTGATACCACAAAACATTTTTCAATAGGTATTTATTATTAATTATACTAATATTCAACATTTACCCTCGCAAACCCAGCATCAGGCAGTCGGTCATTGTTGGTGTGGTGCAGTTGGTCTCTCTTCCTGACTACCACCAGTATGACGGGTGACGTCACGGCTCGTAGTCTCGTCACCACCTCCACGTGATGCGCGCCTAGTACTCGCCAACCATTCACCTGAAATTAATTAATGGACCCTAATTTAATTACCATTTTCAAATTTAATTAGTAAGGCGAAGATCACACAAACGAAGATTCCACATACAATTTGGCCCAGTTCATTAGGGTGTCTATTTGAGCATACAATTTCTGTTTTCTGGCTGGATACACAAATAGCACATCGTGCTCGATATATCAGGATCGACTTGATTGAGAAACTTTTGTACTAAATGCCCCAATCCTCAACAGATCTTCCATTTTCAACCTTAAAACCAAGCATTAACGTCAATAATCTCATACCTCAAGCAGTTCATCCCCAACCCTGTACATGCCGAGTCTGGCCACGGGTCCATTAGGCGCGATGGCTCGGATGTAGTGTCTGGCCTGCACCTCCTTGCCAGCCACCACGCGCACTGTGCCTTCTAGGGAGATGCCCAGACCACTGTCCTTCTCTTTCATTATTGTGCCCACCTAGAAAGGAAACGTGTGGGATGAAACTATGCAGTTCAATCATCTCAGCACTACTTAAAGGTTCAAAGGTTCATTGGGAGAAAAATGTGTACAGGTGAACTTAATGTCCATGTCTCCCATTCTCATGTCATCTCCCATGTTTTATTTAGTTGTAAAAAATACAATTTTGAACTTGAATATAGTAGTCTCTCTATTTGTCATTTATAGACTTTTTTTATTTAGACATAAGTGCGAAATAGATAAACTGACAATTTCTTCGGGTGGCATCTTTAAAAGAAATTAATCCATGTTTTAAGTTTGTAAAAATAGCAGGAGATAATATTCTCCAAGAATCACCCTTATCAGGATCTTGAGTAGTCATAACGAGTGATTTTTAAAAAGGAGCTAAACGTCTATCTGCTTTATAGTTCTGATAAAATTAAACCCTGTACTGACCACAATATCATACTGGTACTGGTGTCCAGGCCAATCTGTCTCCTGCTTCAGTATGTCCCGCCACTTGTCCTGTATACGTCGCGCCTCCCTCTCCGACACCTCATCGTCCCTTCCTATCACAATCTTCGCCTCCTCGGAGGGCGACATCGGGGAGGGAAGGTGAGGCTGGATCTCTGACTCCGGTTCCGCTTCTATCACTGTTGATTCGTCGTACTGTGGAAGAGAAATAAAGTAAGCTATAACTACAATATTTTGAGGATTTTTTTTTATATAATTATGATGGGCCGATGTTTGACCACTATCTCGCCTGGTGGAAAGCCATGATGCCGTTTACGATGGAGCACGTCGTCCCATAAGCAACCTATTCACTCGGGCCTTGAAGACATCCAGGTATACCCTTTAGAAAACAGACTATGGCGAAGAGTTCCACTCTTTAGCAGTACGCACAAGGAAACGTTATGCAAAGCGCTTCATGCGTGTAGGTGGGACATCTACCATGAATTGGTGACGCTTCGCCAATTGTCTTTGATAGTAGCGATGTTAAATCCCCTGATGAGATAAAGTTTTACCGAGTTGTTTTTATTTATTGCTTGTATTTGTCCAGAAATAATTTATCTATTTAACAGGTATCTGCTACTTAAAACACTAATGTAAAGTATGTATACTGTACCTTTACGTAAGTGATCTGTAAATATTGATGGTAGACTAAGAATAGCTGACTTTTAATTGGGCTTCCGGTAACCTCACCCACACGCCGAAATACAACGCAAGCGTTGTTTCACCATTTTATGTAAAGCCGTAGTATTACTACGGTCGTGCCGGCCCATTTGTGCCGAAGCATGGCTCTCCCACACTTAAACATTAACTCATTAACACTCAACTCACCACACTAAAGCTATACTTGGCGAGAGACGTAACAGAAGGACTGGGTGGTGCAATCGGTGACCTCCTACCATCTTGAGCTGCTAGCGCCTTCTGCAGCTTCTCAAACCCCGCCCCGCGAAGATACCTACAAGATTTATTACTGAAATTAGAAAGGTTTTAAGAAACTACTAATTTAAATGGACCCTTACCAATAAACTTTTGTGGTCGAAACACCAATTTATTTAGTCAAAGAAGTAAGTTAGCCGCAGACTCCTACACTATTTACGTGACCTCTGGTCATAATGTATTTGAAACAAAAGTACCTAATCTACCAGTCCTCTAGAAACATTTTTCAATGATACGAAGTAGTGTATTTACTTGAACATAATTATCTTTTGCTGTGCTAGTTTTAATGTTTACATTTACAGGTTTGTCACATCTTACCTAAGAGCTTTCAGTCGTACTACAGGTCCCTTAGCATCCCGCAATAACGCTACAGCACGATGGTTCGTCACTCCATGCAAGGAGACACCGTCCACCTGAAAAGAAGAGAAAACAAAATTGGGCAAGAGATCAAATATATTGGATTTTACAATCATTAAAACTTGATAGAATCATAGTCAAGCCATTTCCTTCTACGTTGGATATAGTTATATACATCTACTAGGTACGGTACGCCACAGAACTCAATCAGCTCTTCGCAACCCACCACTGACCACCAAACAAACCACACGGTCTCCACAACGAAACACGTTAACCCCAGCGTTAATTACTCCGACTGTGTGTTACATTTCTATTATTAGCTTTTTTTAATAGGACAAGCCCGCCACAACCTCCCAAAACCGCTGCAAATCCTGTAAGCCAGGATCTACAGTAGATACAACCATGAAAACACTGAGACGCTGAAGTCTGGCGCGTCCCAGGGACATTAATAACTGTCTTGGTCCCCGCAACGAAGTGAATTAGAAGATATTATAAGAGGAGAAGAAGAAAAGTTTCCACTAGTAGTAGCTTCGTCACATTGTTTTATTATACAAGTATTTTAATGGTAACATTGCAGCGTTGGCGGTAGTTGGGAAACCGGCCACGTGTTCCGCGCACCAACTCTTTGTGTGATCCACAAATTGTGTTCCGGGTCTTGGTGGCATGTGTATGTGAACTTATATGATTGTAAACGCACCTACGACAGGAGAAAATATTAGAGTGGACCAAACCGGTGAAGGCTGCTTCGTCGTTCAGACTTATTAAACAAAAAGATTTTGTATTATTTTCTACATTTCAACAAGCAAGACATCCAATTAAATTGTCTATCGATAACTACAAAAGAGTAATTACCTCAGTCCTTAGTCAGTACATCTCTACCAATTACGAAAGGCTATAAAAACAATAGTTTCACAATCCTCTATAAGTACACACTGACAAAGGACGCTTATTAAATTAATTAGGGATAGCATCAAGCCTCCCCTAATTGCTCCGCGTCAATTGATCAAACTAATTAAGAGTTAGGAACTGCTTTCAAACTCAGCGGATTATTGAATCTATTGACTCTTGATCTGAACGGTTCGGTCCAAAAGAAAATAAACTTTACGCTATATTTGTAGAAAGATGAAAATGAAGTGATCTCACTCCTTTTCTCTTATTAAAATGTTGCACACAATGAATTGGAAGTCAATTTAAATGCATGAAGCGAAAGAGGTATGTAAGAATCATAGCAATTGGGTAGTTGACAGGGTAAGAAAATTAAAAATCTAATTAGTCCGTCAGTAAGATAATGAAAAAATATTAGACACGTATTTTTTTACTTTTTTGTATCATAAAATGATACTACATAACATAACATAACATCACGCCTTTTATCCTCAAAGGGGTAGGCAGAGGTGCATATTAAAATGATACTACTTAGATATAAAGAATCAAAGTTTAGAAGTGAATGTACATACATGTGACGTCACGCGACATTTCAAATCATTATCATCGAAACCATTCGTTTCCGTAAAAAAATAAAAAATACGTGTGTAATGTTTTAAAATAATCTACCAGACTTCAAAATCTCTGCCATGGGAGACAGGCAAATTCAAATTCACATTTCTTTATTGCGTGAGGTTTTGTATTCAAATGCATTAATATTCCAAGATTTTAAAATAAAAATAATAAAAAACTAGCTTCTGCCAGCGGCTTCGCTTACGGTCCCGTGGAATAAATGGTAGCCTATATGATATTCCACACCATAATCTAGCCTTGTTGTAAATATCATCACGATCCCTTTAGCCTTTTTGACGTGAAGGAAGGAGTGACAAACAAACATACAAACTTTCGCATTTATAATATTACTAGCTTTTACCCGCGGCTTCGCTCGCGTCACAAAAAGATAAAACGTAGCCTATGTGACTACCCTACCTTCAGTTGAAAAATCACGTTAAGTACCTCCGTTTTGCCGTTTAAGACAGGCAAACAAACAAACAGCTGTTCGCTTGCGTGGAATTCGGTTATAACGCGCGTTTTAGATTTTTCCGTGGGAATGAGAAATTCTGCCGCGGTAAAGCCTTGCTTTTCCAGGACTCAAACTACCTTTATACCAAATTTCTTCAAAATCGATTCAGCCGCGTGAAAGAACAGAAGAAGTTATTTTCGCATTACCACAAATACCTCCTCCAATTTTAATTTAAAAGACTTCTATTTCCTATAAGGGTTATATTTGCAACGCTAAAGCAAAACTGAGTGGTAAACTATATTAGGTATACGTTTTATTATCGAAAACCTAACTACTTTAGACATCTACTCAGAAATAAACCACTTCACTAATCTAACCTAACTAATATGGCTACTGTATCAATCAACGTAAACAATGAACAAAGCGTCTTAGAACGACGAAAAAAAATTACTATAGTACTTTAAATACTAATATCTACCTAGAAAAAATGACACTTGACTAATCAAACGTACATAGCGAACAAATTATAATAATAATCATTATAAGCGCTAGATGCGTACACTAAAATATAGCTGATACGGAAGCTCGGAACCTATACTTTCGCCGGTAACGAAACCATAGCGCCATCTAACTCGATCCTAACGCCATCTATCGAGCGTTGAAACAACAGCGTACAATATATTTGCTAATTGTTGAGTATTGTTGCCACTATGGTTTCGTGTACCTTTAACAACCTAAAATCTATAAAATACGCAACTTAATGTAAAATGGTTGGAACCAAAATTTAAAAGCGAAGAATACTTAAAAAACTCATCGCTATTCCACATAGACACCAATTTCGTGTATCTTTAACAACCTAAAATCTATAAAATACCCAATTCAATGTAAAATGGTAGGAATCAAAAATTAAAAGCGATAAAAATACTTAAAAATCACAACGTTACCCCGTTTTACAAACACTCGGCGCACTCTATCGCCAAGTAGCGTAACTACTACATTAGTAGCGTCACTAATTTCGTGTACCTTTAACAACCTAAAATATATAAAATACGCAATTTAATGTAAAATGGTTAGAACCAAAATTTAAAAGCGATAAAAGTACTTTAAAAGCACAACGCTACCCCTATGTTAAAACGGGTTTTATGAACACTCAGCGCCATCTATCGCCAAGTAGGGTAACTACTACACAACGTTACCACGTTGTGTTTTTTAAGTATTTTTACATATAAAATAGCAAATAAATGAGTCGAAAAGCGCACTGAATAAGCGCTATAGATTAAAGCGTGAAATTTCCAATTAGTAGGTAATTCGTTGAATTGTTTTAGATGGCACAAAGCGCCATCTACAGGAATACACACAGCGCCATCTATACTAATATTTTTGTTTTCCCTCGGGAATATCAAATTTTTCCGGGATAAAAAGTACCCTATTATTTAATCTGGACTTCTAACTTTACGTCTGCAAAATTTCAAAGCAATCGGTGTAGTAGTTACGGCGTGAAGGTGGAACAAACAAACAAACAAACAAACTCACTTTCAGATTTATAATATTAGTAAGGATAAATGCGAAAGTTACTAATATTAGTAGGATGGTAAAACCTAATAATACTTAGCCCAATCAGATCATCTTGAGACACGAGACTTTAACTATCATAGCATTGCGAACACTAGACCAACGCCACACCTCATGAAGAACGACCTTTATATTATTTTCGCGCACTCATCTCTTGGAGTACTTTTGTACTTACTCGGAGAGGAAACGTAAAATAATGACATACTAAGAGTAATTCTCAGTGCAACCTGACACTACTGCGTTATAAAACTAAGAATATTTTATCAAGAGAAATAATTTAAAAGACATTGTATAAAGAATCAAAAAAGATGGTATTGACTGCACGGTTGGCGCTGTGGCTGGGCAACTGGCTGCCGCGCTACGTGTGGCGGGTTCGATTCCCGCACGGAACAACTCTTTGTGTGATTTTCAAATTGTTGTTCCGGGTTTGGGTGTCATGTGTGTGTGATATTGTATGTTTGTAAACGCACCCACGACACAGGAGAAAATCCTAGTGTGGGGCAACGTTTTTAAAAAAAAAAAATTTAAGGAGGTATGTAGCCTACATTGAATAAGTACAATGACCACTCTTAAGAAGTCGTCTACATTTTTAAACATCCTGGACTTAAGACTTAGAAGGCTGATGCATTCATTATTGCCTTGGACCATGCAATTTTAATGAGACATACTACTGATAGCTCCAACGCTGTAATTGAGAACTCGAAATTGAATATTCATGAAGAGAAGGCGCCTAAGATTCTCTCTTCAATAAATGATGAAGTCAATAAAAAAACTAGTGACATAGTAATAAAAAATAAGAAACTAGAACATGAAAACGATTATAAAACAAATGTAAATTGTATTAAAATGGAACGAGCGTATAAAGAAATGTCTCGATTAACTTGGGAGATGCTATGGGAGAGCCAGTACGTGACGAGAATGCTTCAGAGAAGTGGGTTAAGGACAATGAACAACATAGTACAGCTATATTGTACACGGGAACAAACGAGATGATTCAGGATTTTATAGGGGTACGGGACGTATTAATCTAATAAAAGGACGCCGTGATTTAAGTTTTCCTAAAATAAATCTCGAGGATCCGCTGACTTGAGTAAGTTTCATAGATGAGGGTGGAAATTGAGTGATCTTACCCGCATTTGGGAATCGTCATGGGATTATGGCACGTAACTTTGTATATACTGAAGTGTAATTTGAGTAACATGGTGAATGTTTGACAAAACGCTTGCATTTTAGCACAACGCTTCAATATTTTATGATCTAACGAAGCAAATCTCTCCAAGAAAACATTTAAATAACGAACCCAGAAAACGAATGGAGCCAAAGAAAACCAAATATAAAAATAAATCGTCAGGAAAAATAAGAGAAAAGCCACCATAAGCCAAGAAAACATTGCTAGATAAAGTGAAATCCCGTGCTCGCAAAATTTGGCAAATAGTGCACGTTGGATGTAGGTTGTAGAGTATTGAGTGTCAACGTAATAAGAGCAAAGATATCGACATGTTCTGGGCTCTCCGCCAATTTTTGAGAACATTTCGA